AGTGGGATTTAATTTCATTTGATTTTTATGAGTTTTTCCCTTAGTAATTAACACCAGACAGCATGCAACTTCTCTTCATCTTACTTCGCAGATACAATCTCCTTCTCAAGACAAAGATATCAGGAAAGGTGATGCTTTTACCCTATACTGTCAGAGGCTTCTTATGGCTCATATCCACAACCACAAAGGCAGTGCGTGGAGAGCAGCGGCAGAGGCACTCAGGGCAGGCAGCTAGTGCAGCCCCTCTGGCTTCTGACTTGCATGAATTATGTTCTAGGGAAAAAATTATAAAAATAAAAATAAAAATAAAAATAAAAATAAAAATAAAAATAAAAATAAAAATAAAAATAAAAATAAAAAGGTGGGGTCACAGGCCCAGAGAGGATTCATAGGTCAGTCCTTCCTACCGTTGCTAAGAGGTTACAGAGCTCCCATATTTCTGTGCAAAGAGCAGGTGTGAACCGTGCTGCATTCTTCCTGAATGCACCTCGTTAGCCTTCCTGCTGTGCCAAGTGTCCCTTTGCTTTTTGCTTCTGCAGCTGTCCACCCTAGTCAGAAAGCAGAGCTGAGACAGAGAAGATGTGAGCAACTTCAGAGAACACCCACAAACTTTGGGAACTAAAAGCTTTCAACGCTGCTAGGAGACAACAGCCATAGCTTGGAGAAAACATGGGCCAGCTTTCACTAGGTTTTAAAAGCAAATGAGCACAGTTTTGCACACCTGGCAGGACATACAGGAAAGTCAATGCTCTTTTTGATCACAGATGGGTTTCTAAGTCCCTCTCTGCCGCAGAAGGCTGTCAAACATAGCCGAGGGCAAAATCCAATTCAGCAGGGGGGAAATTCCTATACGTGCTGATGTAAGAGGTTTTTGTGGGAGGATGTTCAATAGCAAAAGCAGCAGCCCCAGGACCTCTATGGGCAGTGACCTGCAGGTGGGAGGGGGAAAAGGAATCGCTGTAACTGGAGAGGGACGAGGCAGTTTTGCTAAACTCCCCTCCCGGCTTTTCCTTCTCCAGGAGCAAAGCAGCTACACTGTGCAGAGAAACAAGATAGTGTCACCCACCATCGCCCCAAACTGCTGAGCCCTGGGCTCTTGTTTCAGGAGGCCCAGGAGTGCTCTGAGCACCCCTAGATCTGGGCTCATCTCCAAGCTCATCTTTCAGGTAGCAATTCCACTGCCATTCAAGCTATTTCTAGAGCATGTATATTAAACACGTGTTGTTTAAAGGCACAGGACACAGTTGGCCAGGTATTTTCCATGTGCATAGGCCGAAGCCTAGTTTTTCTAAAGGCACTTATTTTATATGGAAGGGTTCAATCATAACCTCCACTTTTCAACACAAGAAAGCAGGAGGAGAAAGAGGCTTGCCCAAATTAACACAGCAGAAGGCTGCTTCCCACAGGCTCAAAATGATGCTCTTTCCTCGTGTGCATAACAGACAACAGCCAGGCATCCCAAACCTGGTATTTGATTCCCAGCTGGTTTCAGCAGAAGATGCCCGTTTCATAGATGTTGCGTTGCATCTGTTGCCCCTTCCCTGTCTCAGGTCAGACCCTCGGATGGTGTTAGCTCCCATTAACCAGGCCCGTTTCCACCTGCCACTGCAGCCAGAAAGCCTCCTGTGACAGCGGGGTCCGAGGCGCGCTGCGAGCCCCTGTCCTGTCAGTGCTCACACTGCTACGCAGGGCCTGGCCCAAGCCAGCCTTGCTGCGCCCGCAGCTCCAGAGGCCTGAGCCGCACTCAGAGAGCACAGTTCATGAGCACTTTATGAAAGCTCCGTCAGGGAGCTGCCGTGCTGCCCAGCAGCTCCAATGAGGCCTCGGTGGCTGTGTGACAGCCAGCACCACAGCACAGCCAGGGCTGCATTAATATTCAGGTGCCATTGACACTCCAGCAAGAAACAAAAGCTTATTTTCTACAGCAGATCATTAAGTGGGGAAAATGAGTGACCTCTTAAGACCAGCTGCATCACAGGTGTCACCAAGGGCTGAAGGGGCACAGATGGGGTCATCGCCCATGGCTTCTTTCAATAAATAACAAGTCTAAATGAGCGCGGCCTTGCCGCACCCAGCGGGACACACAAGGGACTGGAAGCCTCCCCAAGCGGATGCCAGCACTGCAGTGGGCACCACGGCGCCCGTGCTCAGCCTGGGGCCGCTGCATGGGGCCATGCAGCGGCGGGGCATGAAGCAGCATCACCATCAGAGAGAGTGTGTAATTCTTCAGCAAGTCCAAGCCAGTGTTTTGGCATGGTTAGACCCAGCCCAGGGGGAAAGCCCTCAGCTCACCCCTAGAGTGGTGGGTGTTTAATACAGAGCCTGTCTTCACTGACTCAAGTGAGGACAGACATCCCCGGCCCCCCCTAGTGCCTCTAGCAGCTCTATAGCCAACCTACTGCCACCCTCTGCTGCTTCGCTCTGTTAGAAAACAGCCCCCATGGGCAGGTCATAGAGGAACTCCAGAGATGTAGACCCATGTCTGGGCACGGCCTAGACCAGAGACATCTTCAGCTGCCCCTCAGTCTCTCGAGGGTCCTCCTGAAGACGCAGCCAGGGCAGAGAGGCAGCAAGGTGGAGGTGGAGCGGCCAGCGCGCACGGCAGAGCTGGCACATGCTCGCCGCCTCCGGAAAGCGCCTCTAATTTGGGAGCGCGGCTTCCTTGGCCTCCCACCTCAGCGCTCCCCCGGGCAGCGCTTACAGCGCTCCACAGAGCAGCGACTTGATCTCACATTACAGGCCCTAATTGCTGTTATCAGTCAGAGTAACAATTAGTGTCACGTTAATGTATTTCTAGTGCTCTCAGGAGAAGAGGAGGAGGAAAGAGAGAGCCTTAGTCCCAGTTTACTGCAGGTTCACCGGGAGACCGCAAGAAAGGAACTCATGAGCAAACTCTGAAAGGGAGATGTTCCTCTGCAGCCACCGGGGTGTCTGGTTTCCCGAACACAATCAGTGTGGTTGCACAGGTCTGTGACTTCACTGTTCCCTATGAAAGGCTGAGCCCCAAGAGCCCTCCCAGAGCACACACTGTACCGTGACACCAGGCAAGAGTGTCCTGCCTTCACCCTGAGTGGGGCACACACAAGCCTGGGATTGAGCCGCACACACAAGTTTATAAGTTTGTATCTTTACAAAGGAGGAAATTGCTCTCCCTTCTTTGGCTGATGAGCAGGACAAAGGATTATGTGCAACAGTGAGATTGAGTAGAGCCAGGAGTGGGGACAAAGGAGCTAGGCGACCTTAGGTGAGAACACATGCAAAGTGGCAGCGAGTTAGGTGTAGGTGGACCGGGAAGGCAGTAACTCCCGAGTCCCTTGGCCAATGGGGAAAAGGAGAGGGCCACCACAGCTGGGAAATTAGGATAAAAAGGGGGCTGTGTCCTCCAGCAACTTGAGACACAGGGATATGGCTGGTGGACTCTCCCTTTATTCGAATAAAGTTTTAGGTCTCCTCTGTGTCCTTTTTGGACATTCAGTTCTTGACAGCGAGCTTTTCCCCACAACCCTTACCTGAGAAAACTCGCAGTTCGCTAGCATGGAGGTGTCCTCGCTGTCTGTGAAGCACCCAAAGCCACACACACACACAGAGCCCTCAGCCTCGGCAGGCAGCCTACCTCCACCTTTACACAGAAAGGTGCTAAGAGACAATCACTTCTCACCTTCAATAAAATACCTCCCCCTTGCAAGGGGCCATCACTACTCCTAACCTTTCCCTTCTTAGTTCCTTGTTTGCCCTCCCAGTGTTGAGACCAAACAGCGTGAGCAGGTGCAAGAAAGCAAACATCAACCCCCTGCCCTGCACTGGGCTGCCTCTCCTGCAGGAACGCGCTGCCTGCCGTGCTTCGGGAGAAGTTTGCTGCCTGGCTGGCGGCAAGCTGCGCGGCTCAGGAGCGGAACCCGCTCCGCGCACTTGCTCCGCGCCCTGCCTCGTCCCCGCAAGGCAGCGCGTTAGCCCGCTCTCCTATCCACACCGTCGCGGCTGGGCTTGGCCTGGTGCAGACCGACGTTGCTGCAAAAACGAGGACGGCCGCGGAGGGGCGTGGCGAGGCGGCGAGGGGCGTGTCCTCATTAGCATGCGCGGCGCGGGGCGCGCTGGGTAGCGCGGGCGGCTCGCCCTGAGCAGGGCGCGGCGCGGCGGCGGGCCCGTATATAGGGCGGCGCGGCGCGCTGGTGCCGTCCGGGGGAAGCTCACCGCCGAGGTCACGCACCGGGTGCGCGTCACCCCCCCGCGCCTCGGGGAAGGTCTGAGCGAGGGGCCGCGGCGGCCCCAGCAGGGCCCCGCCCGCGCGGGCGGGTGAGCCACCAGCAAGGGGGGGCGCCGCGGCGGCCGGCCCGGGCAGGAGAAGCCGCGGGTGGGCGGCGTGGCGCGACCGGCCCGCCCCGGCGGATGCTCATGGCCCCGCGGCGCTGTGAGACAGACTCACGGCCGGCATGCTGAGTCCAATGGTGTGAGGTGGGGCACCGCCCCACAACCCAATTCAGACTACTCTCCCCCGGACACCTTTTCCCGTCCTCCAGAATGGAAGTAAAAACGTTTTCAGTGTCACTTTTCCTCCTGCTTTCCTTACACCAACACTTGGGGCTCACAGCTTTCCTTACACCTTTCCTTCTCCCTCTGCTTTCCTCACACCTTTCCTATTCCTTTCTTCTCCTCCTGCTTTCCTCACACCTTTCCTATTCCTTCCTTCTCCTCCTGCTTTCCTCACACCTTTCCTTTTCCTTCCTTCTCCTCCTGCTTTCCTCACACCTTTCCTTTTCCTTCCTTCTCCTCCTGCTTTCCTCACACCTTTCCTATTCCGTCCTTCTCCTCCTGCTTTCCTTACACTGACAATTGGGGCTCACTAAGCCCTTCAAGGGCCTTCCCTTTCCCCCACCCCATACTCCCATTTAGCAGCATGCCACGGCTTAGCAATACAAAATACAACACGCATCTCCAGGGTGTCTTCTCCTGGCCAAACTTGTATTTTTCCACCAAAAAAAAAAAAAAAAAAAAAGTTTTGAGGAAAAACTACCACAGCACAGGGACAAGGAAGGGGGCGATGCCTTGCACAATGCAAGGAGGGCAGGAGGCTTCTCCAGACGCTAACACAGGCAGGCCGGGCTCCTCGCAATCCCATCTCCAGCACAGCAAGGTTCCTCCGCTGGCTGCTCTTCGTGATGATGACGGTGGTGCCACAGGGTCGCCGCTAGCCCCAATCACAGCAGGTGGGGGTAGCGGCGCTGGGACAGTGGCCGGGGCTGGCGGGGCCTGGCAGCAGCGAGCTGGGAAGGGCAGAAACACCCTGAGAAGGTGGGACAGCCCTGCAGCATGCCCCCAGACTGCCAGCTGGCTCCTTGTCGGCTGCCACACGCTGCATGGTGCCAGCCCGTCAGCAGCAGCCCAGGAGGACACTCTCACCTGAGGGACCTGGATGGGGTTGAAGAGCGGGATGGCCCCCGCTGGTGTGACAGGCAGGCGGCTGCTGGGGCCCCATGGAGGCTCCTGGAAGAGCAGACAGAAACTGAGCAGCCACCCTCGCTTTTGGAGTGGACTCCCCACATACGTATTGCTCTGCCCCACACATTAAGGGCTCCCCACCAGAATATCCTCAGGAAGGATGTCTCCCGTCCTGCCCCAGAGCAGAGGGAACCAGCCCCAGGACCCATGTCCTTGGCATGGATCCTCCGAGGGGCGATCAGCTGTGAACAAAGACCAAGGCGCTTCCCTCACCTCACGGTTAGGCTGTGGTTGGGTGTCTGTTAAAACTACCAAGTTCATCTTCATGAATTGTGTACAAATGTAGCAACTTTAAGGCCTTCTTCCCCTTGGCAAATTTGCATGAAATAGGCTGACAGTTTTGAAGACATTATGGGGAAAGAGAAGCGGTTCTGCTTATGATTTTGTTCTGAGAAACGAGGGCAGAAGGGCAAAGACACCCCAAAGTACAGACACACACATCAAGCCCGTGTTCTCCTCACCTGCTCTTCAGCCTCAGGCAAGGCTCCCTGTTCCCTGCCATCCAGGCCCCACGAGCCTTCTGTTTCAACAGACACTGGGGTGACAACAACGATATCGGCATCATGTTTCATTCATTCCAGGATGTGCAACCCTTAAAATACAAAGGAGCAGCTTCTAAAAGGCCGAGCATGGGCGGAAGAGAGGTGCTCTTTGCCACATTTACCTGGGTTTCCAGAGGAAGGGCTGGACATGGTAGGAGAGGGGCTCCAAGCACTCAGAGCTGAAGGGCTGGTCCTGGCCTCCAGAAGAGGAGAGGCTGGGGGCGATGGCGAAGACCGTTCCTGAGGAGGGAACCACAACCACTGGTTATCTCTCGTATGAAGAGAGGCTGAGCGAGCTGGGCCTGTTTTCTCTGGAGAAGAGGCGGCTCAGAGGGGATATGATTAATATGTATAAGTTCAGGAAGGGAGAATGCAGGGAGGAAGGGGACAGGCTGTTCTCACTGGTGGCCAGCGATAGGACGAGGGGTAATGGCCACAAGCTGAAACACAAGAAGTTCCGTCTCCAGGTGAGGAGGAACTTCTTTACTGTTAGGGTGACAGAGCAGTGGAACAGGCTGCCCAGGGAGGTTGTGGAGTCTCCTACTCTGGAGGTCTTCAAAACCCGCCTGGATGCCACCCTGTGCCACATGCTGTAGGTGTGCCTGCTTGAGCAGGAAGGTTGGACTAGATGATCTGTAGAGGTCCCTTCCAACCTTAAATATTCTGAAATTCTGAAAAACCACTGGTTTAACGACCCTGCCTTTAAAGGTTGAAAGGGAAGAGCTCCACACTGAGGAGTTGGGTCTGTCCCAGTCCTGATGAGGATCTCCCCTGTCCATGGCAATCCAAGCGCTGAACCCACACAAGGTAAGGGTATCTATGAGGTAGCAAGCGACCCCACGTGACAAACCTAAGCTACCTGAAAAGCTCAATAGTAGGTAAGTGGCTGGGTACCAGGCCCACTGGTAGAATGCAGTGCTGGGGCCACCTGGGCTAGCTGTATGTACCCCTTGATTCCTTGTCTCTTACTGTTATGGGAATAATGTTCCCAGATCTCCTGTTATGGGACTGTAGGACATTCTGAATGAGGAGGAGACCTCCTTGCCTCTAAAAGCAACAATCAATCCTGGCCACAGAGACACGATGTGTGTGTCTCGAGAAGGATAGGGCCAGGATTAGGGAGAGCTGCATTTGGTTGCTCCCCTATCTCTGCTGTATTTCTAATTAAAGAAGTTATTCTTCACTTCAGCTCCTAAAAACTACTGGAGCATTGCCATTTGCTGCTAACAGCTGCTGCTTTCCACTTCAGCGGAGGGCAAGCGATCCCTGTAGAGTTTGCTGAGCACTTGGAGAACCTTCCAGATCAAAGATGCTTTATAAATGCACAATTATTATTAATAAAGAATTCTCTTCCAGGCTGCAAGGGTTCCCCAGTCTCCTTTGTCAATCCATGCCCGTGCAGGGCAGCGCAGCAGGCCCGCTACAGAAGTGAGAGTGTGTCCTATGGTCACGGCTGAGTCACGTATGCGAGAAGGGAGATAGAGCAGGAGAAGGCAGCGTTTCGGTAACCCTTTCCTTAGGTGTCCCCCGGGGTATCGCCCTGGCATGGGGCAGCCTTCGTTAGCTCTCTTGTTACCTGAGATTTCGGCGTGTCGGACGTGGCTTGGGAGGGCTTCGACCGGAACCAGCCAAACCACCTGAATCCCGAGCTCTGGGAATACAGGATTGCATAGTCAAAAAGAAAGCAGTAGAACAGTGATAAATTAGAGATCCCATAACCCACTGGATCCTGCAGCCAGCCTCACTTCTGCCTCCTGAGCCCCAGGCACAGTGGAGAGGAGAGCAAGTGCCCGTCCACGCTAGCGTGGGGGATCTCTCCGCTCCAGCACCTCCACGGTAGAGCACCCAGGGCAGGGAGTTCCGCACTATAGCGGGCATAACCACGGCCCCTGGGAGCTGGCACACCACTTTGCGTGGGGCACAGCTGAACAGCAGCGCTCAGGGCAGCGTTGGGTGGTTACATGGGGTAGGCCAGGTGCAGAGGCAAAACGGGAGCATTTAGGCAAGCTCGAAGCCCTCATCTTTACAGCAGCTGCACGTTGCTCACCTTAACCTCATCTGGCTTCTCCTCCTCCTCTGATGACTGCTCCTCAGTGACATCCTCAGACACGCTTTCCAAGGAAGGCTGAATGTCCTCTTCCAGGGAGATAGTAGAGCTCTCCGAGACTGTCCGGGCCCTTGCACTTAACCCTGGCTGGTGTCAGAGATAAGGATTAAAACGAAGCAGACAGAAGACCAGGCAGAGGAGGATTTGCAGAAAGGCAGTGGCAGTCAAGCTAATGGGGGCCAGCCCCCTCCAGAACCCGAGCTCTCTGGAAAGGTTTGAGCCTTTGAGCAAGTCAAGCACATGGAATAAGATAAAGCAATGAGAGTCCTCCACTCTGCCCGGACCACTAAGCAATATCTACCCTCTCTGGGCAAGCCACTTGCATCCTTGTCCACCTCACCTGCTCTCCTGCAGCAGTCTGCGGTACCCCAAAGGGAAGTGGGGGGTCCTGAGGCTTCCTGGCATCTCCTAAAGAGCAGAGAGAAGGGCACAGTCAGGATTCATTGCTGGGAGCAACCTTCCCACAAGCAAGTATTTTTGCATCTCCTGGAGGTATTTATAATGTTGCCATCATTACGGAATCCAGGCAGCAACTCAGCTGGCTTCTGTACTGCGAGACGCTTCAGCTCACATTAGAGGCCAAATCAATCTAGGCACATGTCGACACGCTCTGCAAGAAGCCCCATGTGCAGCCAGAAACCGGTCTGGTTCTCAGGAAAAGGCAGACCCACATGGCAGTCTGCTGCTTTTCCAAAACAAGGAAAAAACACCAACATCAGGAGCTGCCTCTTTCCCCTCTATTCCTTACACAGCTGAAACAGGCCATGTACCCCTAAGCAACCTACCTTCTGTGTCACGTCACTACCCGCGAGCAAGGCTACATGGCCCAGAGTCTTCCCACACGCATGCAAAAATCCAGGCCTGTACCTGGGGCACCACGAAGGCAGAAAGCCAGAAGGTTGCACCAATACCTCCCAAACCAAAACGTGGTTTGTGCTGTTGAATTTGAGGCTGCTCTTCCCACCCAGGAGGGAAGCAGTACAGCTGCCAAACCTAGAGTTTCTTGTTGCTTGCTGTTTTGGACAAGGTTTTGTAAAAATTAAGAATCACTGACCCAGGGTGGCCAGTCCTGGTGGGAAGTGGTTTGCATACCACTTCCCACATACCAGTGCCAGTAGAAAGTGTTGTTCAAAATGAAGCATATGCCTCAGGAGACCAGACATGCAGGGATTCCTCACAGGCAGTGACTCTTCCCCCGGGGGAGACACCAAACAATTGTTACGAACAGAGTACAGGCACTTTTGTAGAAATACATGGAAGAAAAGGTGTTTTTCAGACCTATCTATTCCTATGAATGCCAAAGGAGCCCCTAACATGGCCCCAGCATGTACCTAGACCTACTGTCATAGGAATGCTCCCGGCAGGCTGCTTTGAACCAAATACACATTTTTTGAACCATACACAAATACATTTCGCTGACACCATCCTTGTCTGTTCCATGCAGGCGCAAACGCACCCTGGCTCCCTACCGAATCCTCCTCCTGCGTGTTAACGCGAGCTCCCGTGGAGCCACCCGCTTACCCGGCGGCGGGGAAGGATCGCGGCAGAGCTCCCCTGGCGGGGCAGGCGCGGGCGGGCCGAGCGCTGCCGCCTGCTGCGCGGGCCCGGCGTGGAGCGGCAGCGATGCCGCCACGTGGGTCGGTGCGGCCGCCGGGGCAGGCGCCGGGGGCCCCGGCTCCTCCTGCGGGCCTGTTCCCCGCCGCGGCACCGGGGTGCTCTGCTGGTGCCGCTGGTCGTGCTGGTAGTCCTTGTTCTGCGCCAGCTCAGGGCCGAATTCTCCATCTGGAAAACAGACCTCAGGAATTTACTGCAGTATTTACAATTTTACTGCACCGCTGCGTAGAATTTTCTTTTTCCATTACACATAAACAGGAGGTGAGGAAAATCCCAGGGGAACGCGTGTGGGTGAGGGAGGAGGTACGGCACAGCTTGATAGCAAGGACCTTTCGGATGCTTCAAGGAAGATGGGTTGTGAAAGGTGGGGAGGATCTCTCGGGAACATGCCTGAGGTTGCAAACAAGGACTTAGAGCAGGAATATTATGGAAGCTACGAGACCAAAAGAGAAAGCAACATGTGCCTAGCAGTTCAAAGCATCCCAGAGCCTCCAGCCTTTCCTTTCACTCCTACCCCATGCCCTGAGCAGGAAAGAGAATTCTCTGATTTTGAGGAGCATCTGTTAAGCTCTATCCTTCATTCCTGCTCCATAGGAATGCACACTGCTGAGTTTCTTGCTTTAGGTGGATTTGTTCTGTTTTTCTAATTTGAAAGACAGGTTAGGAAAGCAGTAAGGGTTTGTTTTATTCAGCAAATGCTGTAGCTGGCATTAGAGGCAGCGCAGCACGCTGCTGTCTGTCCCAAGCAGGGCTGCACAGCAGCTTCTCCTGACTGCCTGTTCCAGCCGGGGGCTGGCCTCTGCTCCGCGCACACGAGTTTCTGCCCTGCTGCTGACAGGAGCCTTCAGCCAGGAGCCAGACACGGCACGTCTGAATTGCTCTGGGGATCGACTCCGGGGCATCACTGCCATCCTGCTATGAGTTAGCTTCAACTATTGCCTTTTCACCTGTAAACCACTCCCATAAATTCCTGGAGATGCTCCTGCAGTGTCAGGGAGAAGCCACGAGGAAAAGGAGGAGGAAAGAGAGAGCCCATGAGGAAAAGGATGGACAGAGCTGCCAGACTCCGGAGCTGCTGCACTTATTTCTGCCGCCTGACAAGTCCATCCAGGAAGCACGTACAGATGCCGAGGAAAGCCAGGGAGAAAGCCTACTGCTTGGAGAACAAGGATGGAGAGGAAGACTCCCACCACCGCACTGGTCCCATGCTGGTCACTGTAAGGACCTTTTCCGTTTCCCCACTGATCCCCACAAACTGAATTTGTACTAGAGTGGTCAGGATAGAGCAAGGCCCTTCAGAGTTAATCCCAGAGCACACAAGCCCTTCAGATGAGAGATTAAAAGTCTAGGATGTCCAGTGTGGCTGGTGACTGAACAGCCTTCCCGACGAGTGAAGGCACCAAACGTGAGGAAAGCAGGTGAGCTGCTGGTGAGCAGGTACACGTGGAGCCATCCCGACCTCTGAGAGAGGCCTTCCTCCACACGTGTTTTTTTTTTCAGTGCTTAACCCTGACAGAAGCAGAAGGCAATCAGAATTGAAGATGCTTTTTACCGTCTGAGAGAGTTCTTGAAGAGGGATTTGGCAGCATCAGGGAAAGCTGATAGGAAGAAACAGCTCAGAGAAGTTTGTCACGTTTTATCCTGTCTGCATCAGCCTTCACACTCCACCACCAGTGCTGGCCTTTCTGCCTCCGCTCCTCTGCTACATGGTGCCAGGAAACGGGGCAGGAGCAGACAGCAAGGAGCAAAGGGCTACCCCAGGGCCAGCCTACTGACAGAGGAAGCCATCAAGCAAAGCTGGTGAGTCAAAGGCTCCTCGATTTCTCTACAGGCCTATCCACTGATGTGTTGTCCAGAGGGAAAGTCCTCTAGTGTCTACGTTGAAGTCATCCCAGGATGCCTACATCCTTCCCCTTGACGTCTCAGCCAAAGACTATGGCACGGATGTGGTCCTGGATGGCTCAGCAACAGGAGGACCTCAGGGTCCCAGAGAGACAGAACAAAGATGAACCTGACATGGGGGGAGAAAAGGTCTATGCTGGCCCTTAATCAATATGCATGCTGAATTATGGCATGCAGAAGGACAAGTTCTTTCCTGAATCTTTCAGTCTATGAGCAAATATAAAATCCTATTAGTTCAGCTCCAATTTGTGTCCTCGGAGGACTGTCTAGGAATGAGGCCATCTCCCCCGAGGCTCCCTGGAGCTGGAGGCTTGGCAAGGAGACACTGGCTTTGTCCAGCTGGCTGCCTGCCAGACCAGCACTGTGACCCCCCTTCTGCTTCCGTGGGGCCCACAGAGACTCCTGAAGCTGCATTAATTAGACCCAATTACTCAAGCAGACTTTGTTCCTCCATAGAGAGCGAGCGAGCCTAACTGGACTGAGCATCCCCTGCTACCTCCTGCACATCTTGGCTGATTGCCCTTACTCACCAAGCTTCCAGGACACGCCAGGGTTTTGAAGAGGAGAAAGGAGAACTAGCCAGTTCCCTGTCACCAATGTCCTGCCATTCCTCCTCTAACCAAGACTGGGTTGCTCTAGCTTTGTTCCCTTCCCCTTTTCCCAGCAGAAGGAAACCAATGAGTAATATCTTTTCTTAGAAGAATGGGAGGGGAAGGACTCTGGAGACAGGTCTTTGAGGAGAAGGAAGGACGTGCAGGCCATAGGAGACCATACTAGAAGGCTTCCTGGCATGGCTCTGGGACAGGAATCCCAGCCACCTTGGGACAGGAATCTGCGTGCAGTGCGCAGCCCGTCCCCGGCTGACCGCTCACCAGGCGAACACGTCTCAGTGGCAATCACGCTGCATGGGTTTGGGGCTTTTTCTTGTGTTTTAGAGAGATGCAAGGGACAGCGAACGGCTGTTGAGAAACACCAGCTGGCTCTGAAGAGCTGATCACGTAGACACCAAGGCTTGGGATCAGCCTCCCTCAGGGGGCTGGCAACATAACTGCACATGCTGTGCGTGTGGAGAAGCCCTTCCAGGGACATACAGTGCACTGCTCCACTCCATCTTTACCTGTGGCTGATCTGCTGGCCTTGGAAAGCTCTGGCTCATCTGATGCCAGCTCAGGAGGGACATCCTCTTCCATCTGCAAGAAGAGAAAGGTGACAGACAAAACAGAAGGGAAACTGGGCAGCAGGAGGAAAGCCGGGCAACACAGGAAGGCAAGCCCAACTAAAGCAAGCACAAAGCCAGGGCAAAGGAGATCCGCGTGCTGGCAAGCTCGCCGTGCGGCTCCTCCACTGGCTGTAGGGGCCCGAGCGGCCAGAAGAGCCCCACCGAGCGCCAGCATCTCGGCCACCCCCAGGACAGCGGGAGCGCGTGGCAGGCTGCCCAGGAGCCTGGACACTGCCCGCAGCGATAAACGGAGCAGGCTGCTCGAGACCAGAGCAGCGCGGGAAGCGCGGAGCCGCGCGGAGCCGCGGGCTCTGCTGGCGCCAGCACAACCACAGCTCATGCTCAGCAAGACAAACGAGACTGTGGCGTGATCACCGCTGTGCGGAGCACGCAGGACAGGACGCCAAAGAGAGAGAGAAAGGCTGGCAAGAACAAAAGCACATGTGAAACGTGCATGGAATGTGTCAACGTGAGCCCCAGATTTGGTAAAAACCACGGCCTTTGACCCGTGATACTCGTCCTCCCATTTAGGATGGAGGAGGAGGAAGATCCCCTCCAGACAAACTACAGAACGGAGCGGTCCCTTACAGCTGCGCTGCGCAGCATGTGCAGCCAAAGCTCCGCTCGCGCTCACCTCCCGCTCCCAGCACTGGGCTCGGAGCGCTGCCAGCCAGTCGGGCTCCAGGCTCTGCTCCTGATCCGGCATCTCCAGCAGTAGCGGGTCGGAGAACTTCAGCCGCTCAGCCAGCTGCACAGTCAGGAAGCAGGGGAAAAAATGGGGTCTTAACTCACTTAACATGACTCCCTAATGCTTTAAAATAAGCATTAGCATCATTAACAACAAAAAGTAGCAGAAGAGTGGGAGAGACATTCTGAGATTACCTGATTTCTCTGCCTACTCTGCAAAGATATCACATATGTCCACATCAGCCCTTACAGCTGTTTAACTGGTAATTATGAATCCCCACAGATAAGATTTCACAGCCTCCCAGAGCTGCCCTGATGCTTAATGTCCTTAGAGTTAGAGAGTTTTTCATAATATCCAAGTGAAATTCTTGCTGCAAATTAACCCTCTTGCTCCTGCAGTAGGTGGGGGAACAGTCGGACACCAAATCCCTTAAAAACATCCTTCTACATATTAGCAGGCTGTTATCACAACCCCCATCTATCTCCTTCCTCCCCTAGGATATTTTCCTGGGCACACATAACCCCAAGGCCTCCAGCGGTCACTCTTTCCTCGATCTCTTATCATCCTCGCTCTTCTCTTCTGCACTTCTTCCAACCTGGCACGTTCCCTGAGCGCAGAAGCCCAAGAGGGGCACAGTGACCTAGCCAAGACCCTGCAGGGCCCAAGCACAAGGGGTTATCACCTCCTTGTCTCACACGTGCTACTCTCCCGCTTTGAGCCCAGAATAACTTGGAGTTTTGGGGGTTTTTTTTAACAGTATCCTGTTGTGGTGCTGCTTTGTATTTCTTCCATGTTCCGCTATCTCCCCCAGGTCCTTCTCTGCAGTACTGCTAGTGTGTGCTGAATTTCTCCTACAAGAGAAGGGTCTGCATCCCTGACTGCAGCCGTCTAAAAGACATGGGGCTCCATCTACAGAAAACAGAGAGGGAGAAGGAGATAACCTGTCCCACCCGTCTTAAGGTGGGACGAGTGGCTCTCTGGAGAACCACGGCTCCCAAGTCACTATGGTGACAGTCTGGCCAGATTGCTTAGATGAGGACCCACGTTTATGACAGCTGGCATGAGGGGAGATGACTGTCACCCAGAACACTTGGTTGATGTCAGCCCACTTCTTGGGATTTGCCATGTTGGCTGTTCCTTCTTATCCACGGTGTTTAAAAGAACATTGTCTAAACAGCCTAAAATGAAATCCCCGCCTCCAGGAGGTTACAGTGAGACAAGACCAGCACAGCCGGTCCCCAAACTGGGACAAGAACCAGCTGATAGGAGCTGGGACTGCTTCTCCTGCAGTGACTGAGCCGGGGCCAGGAGGCTGCGCTACTCCAATCTGGTGGACATCACCAGATCTCTTTGGAAACACACATGTGTTCATTCAAAATCAATGGCAGGAAAGAGGAAATTATAAGCATGATTACTCCTAAACGGGGGGAATGTTTAATCCAAAAGCTAATATGCACTTTGATCTAATATTAATGAACCTACACCTGGTTGTATATCGTCCCCAGCTTCAAAAGAGGGGAAGTCTTAATCAAACACTAATGTGTATAATAATTTGTAACACACTCTAAAACATCAAAGACAAGAGTGTCTATGAGTGCACCAGTTTTTCAGATGAAAGTGTTTTCTCCCCGGAGAAGCATTATGCCCAGCAGAACTGCGGATCTGAGAGGCTGTTGGAGTAAATGGGCTTCCACGAAGGGGCCGGGGGCTGCGAGCACAGCCCAGCGTTGCGTAACGCCGAGTTTCAGGCTGGACAACGGGGCTGTTTTTGCAGCCTAGGGGAGCACAGGCACCCACGCCACAAACGTGGGACATGCTCACTGCCACCCTGACAGCACCCTGGCACGTCAGTGCCATGCCGGGATGAGGTACTGCAGAGGAAGGGCCATGCAGCTCCTAGGTTTATAGCGTCTTCAATCCGTGCCATTTATAAATGCAAAAACCAACAAAACAAACAAAAAACAAAACAAAACAAAAAAAGAAAGAGGAAAAAAAAATCCTTTGCCTCCGCAGCCCTTTTGTCCAGCAGCAAAATTCCCTTCTTTTCCCCCACAGCAGGCTGGGGCAGTCTGAAACTCCTCACACGCCTCAGCAAGTGGCTGGCGGTGCCCCAGGGAGGCCACGGGGCATCACTCACGCGCAGCCTGACGTGTCTCACCTCCAGCAGCTGTCTGGTGAGTGCGGGGTGCCTGCCAGGTCCCTGCTCCAGCAGCACCGTGGCAATCTTCTCGCAGTAGTGCAAGGCCTGGGCTGGCAGCCCGTAGTCCGCCAGGCGAGAGGCGTAGATGAGCTTGTACACCTTGCGGAGGGCAAGAGAAGCTGTCATAGGGTTGGAAGCTGAGTGAGGAGGAGCCCGTGAGCTCATGTCATGGGGCTAAGAGAGCCCATTAAGCTCTCTTAGGAGCAAGAGAGCACCTTAGTGTGGCTCAAACTACCCTGTATCACAGGTCCTACCACCAACAGGTCATGCTAGATTGGACACCTCCTCTCTCCAGCAGCCCGGCTGTGCTGCCCGTAGCACCAGGCCTGCGCTGTGCCAGCAGATCAGCATCGGGGACGGGCTCCAGCCACAATTTTCATTTATCTACCCAATATGTGCAGTGCCCAAGGCGGCAGCAGCTGGGTGCTTATTTACAATACGAAAAGCCTATCAATTACACTGGACTATTAGAGAACAGGAGGGGAGCTAGACCCAGGCTGAACAGAGCAAACCCAGATGGCACCAAGCCCCACAAGCTGCCCTGGCTCGGGCTCCCATAAGCTGTGCTCAGAAGGGGATGTGAAAGCCCTGCCTTGGAGAAACCCACGCTGAGCCCGGCCAGCAGAGCCGCTCCTGCGGCCAAGTGAGGGAAAAGCCTCCAAAGGCATCGGAGAGCAGCCCTGCTCCAGCGGGAGCTCCTGCCACTCGCTTCCGGGGGAATGGAAGGACAGGGATTTCTTAGGGAAGGTCTGAGTTGTCACTGGCCACACTTGCAAGTCTCTGCTACCTGGAAGGGAAGAAGGAAGGCTCCGGGTTGTCGTAGCTGCTGGCAGTACTCAAAGATTTCCATGCGCTGGATAACCTCTGTCCTGGCAAACTGGGCAAACGCCTGACTGAAAAGGAGAAGGAAGAAAGGGCAGTTCAGGGGGCAGAGCAGAGATGTCCCTTCAAGACAGCCTGGTACGCAGGTCTGCTCCTCCCCTCCACTGCTGACCTGGAGAAGCTGCAGAGGCCCAGAGCAAAATCACATCCGCAGCAATAAAATCCCATGATTTGTACTCTCCAGAATTTTACTTTTCCCTTGGCAGAGGGGAAATGTGGCATCTGAGGCCAAAGCTTAAACAAGCACAAGAGAGCAAGAACCTGCAATATTCCCGTGCTTGCTGGGAATTCAAAGCAATAGTGAGCAGAAAGATATTTTCTTCCTCAAATTAGGTTTTTGTTAATGAGACTCCAATTTTTTGGAAGCTGCCAGCCCATTTTGCGGAATGATTTGAAATCACAGGGCGAGGAAGAAGGCAGGAGATAACTGAAAAGCATCTGGAAGTGCCCACAGGGCATTGCCTGCCCGCGTTTGCTCACCGGTGACTGCTGCCCAGCAAAGCCATGCGATTCGCCTTCTCTCCAAAGTAACCAAAAGGAATATCTGCCATCAGGTAGCAGAAGTGAGCTGCTTCTGTTAATCCCCTGCCAGCTGAATGGGGAAGGAGAGACGAAAAAAGCAATGTTAGCCCTCAGAGGCAGACCTCTGTGCAGCCAGTGTTGCTCTGAAGACAACCAAGCTCATATAAAATACAACTAATCAAATAGTCCTTTTTTTTTTCTCTCTGTCCATTCAGACCCCTAAATCTCCCTTCTCCTCACACCTTTTTTCTTCTTTTTTTTTTTTTTTTCAGATTGCTCTTTTCTGTGCTTACGGGGTGGTCTGGCTGAGTGTTAGGAACAGGACAACTCTACCAAGGTGCATCTCCACGTTCCCTTCTCTGGGCAGATGTCACTGGCCTGAAACCCGCTAAGGTTCTCCACCACCAGTGCCCAAACAGGAAAGCCTCGGTCCCCACGGCCACGTGTGCCACCTGTGCTCCATCACCAGAGCAGCACGTGAAGAATGATGTCCTCTCCCTTGGAAAGGAGCACACGGGAGCAGGGAAAGGAAGAGCAGAGCTGCGAGTCTGCCTCCCAATGAGGCCTGGGCTCACCCAAAGTGTCTCCCGTGGTGACGATGGCACGGCGGTTCAGCTCTGCATCTCCGACCTTGTTGGACAGCATCACAGCCAGGTGGGGCCTCCAGTCTCCCCACTTGGCATCCCCACAGCACTGCGAGGGAGACAAGGAAGGAGACAAAGCGGAGCTGAGCCCAACAGCCCCGGCTGCAGCAAAAGGGTCTCCGTGCCACACGGTCCCTGTGACATTCTTCTCACAGTGTCTTCTTGCACCATGTGGCACAGGTGTCACAGTGTGAAAGTATACGAGCATCACAGCACGAGGATAGAAATCTCTCCAGCCAAAAGCAAACCAGAACGCACTGCTAGGGGAAGGAAATGCTCATTCCTACCTGAACTGCCTGGGGAATCCTTCCAGACATGAGCTGGAAGAAGGTCTGTAGTGGGTCATTGACAGCCAGCGTGCTGGTGAACCTGCAAGGAGGCAGCAGAGATGGTCACTGCGCCGCGAGCGCAGCACGAGAGCCCAAACTCGCCATCACATCCCACGTGGTTGAGCACATCTCGGAAACGCCCTGGGAACGGCAGCTCCTGCGAGCTTTAACTCACTAGCGAAGCCAAGGCAGAAAGGAAAGGCAAACCCCACAAGACTGGTGATCCATCACCTCCAGAGAGTGCAAAAGGACACTGCTGGATAACCACCTTAAAAGGATACTGGTTTACAAGACACTTCCTGCTTAACTGCCCCAGAAAGGATCAGCCCAAAGAAATTGTCCATGTGGGCAGTTCACTGGGAAACCTTTTGCTAGCTGAGGTGCTGTGGTCCAGCCTGGGCTATCCCAGCTATCCCCTGTCCCAGCTGCTGGTTTTGCTGATCTTGTTGATCTCTGCAACTACAGCGAAGCAGAGGATCACAGCAAATCCATGCCACGTCTCCAGACAACAGCTTTACTTTTGCCTTTTTTCCTGCCTGGCAGGAAGCCTGAAAGATTTGGACCCATCTGTACGGATTATCCCTCCCCATTCTGGCCAGTAGAAAAAAATAACACCAGACAGAAAGAATCTGATGGCAATTGCTGCTCTTTCTGGGGTGCACCAGGGCTGAGGGCATCTGAGAGGCTATGTGCTCTCAGACATTAGGCCCAGAGAGGCTTCACAGACATCACACCTTGCTTTTACCTCTCCAGCTTACCCAGTGAGCACCCAGCTGTAGGTCCGAGGGTCCATCTTGCTGGAGAGGAAGAGGGCATGGCCCCACAAATGGTTTCTCATGGCCCAGTCCAGAGCTTCCTGCAGCCAACATGAGAAAGAAAAGGCCTTTGTGCTATTTCCACCCCCCCGCCGCCCTCTGCTATGAGGGGAACATCTGCTCATTCATCTCAGATCTCAGACTGTCTCCGTAGCCCTTTTGCTGCAGTGTCCCTTTCTGGGAGAGGTTTCCCTGGGGCATCTCTAGCCCCCAAAATAGCGGGGCCATGTGAGGAATTAACTGATTTTCTGGGGTCTCTGCTCATTCCCTCTGCAGGCTTGGGACTTATAAAAGCACTGGTGATTACCCTGGGTTTCCCCAAATCACTCAAAACCAACCAAAAAAAAAAAAAAAAAAAAGGAAACAAAACAAAAAAACAGCAGCAGGGCATCACGAGTCCCATCAGAGTTCCCTAAAGTGGGTAACTTACATTTAAACAATGTTCTACAAACTCATCATTGAGACAAAAAAGGCACTTCTTGACTTCCCTCCCCTTTAAAACCTTGCTGAAAAGGCCAAAGCGGCTTATAAAGAATCATTCCCACGTTTTAGATCCCCCTCACCACTTACTTTCTTTCTGCCGTAGTAGAGGAGCTTGGTGAACTTCTCAACTGTCTGTGCCAGTGTCTCCACGATGGGAGGGACCTCCCCTGTAAGGAGGTCCACCGCCCCAGGTCCACATGTGCGCCACTCCTCGTCTGACGGGTTGGTGGCACTAGCTGCAGGGTTTTGCCTCTTGTACTTCTCCAGACGCTTGCAGTCTTGCATCAAAAGCTCGGCTGTGTCTGAGCCCACCATGGACTGCACAAGGGAGGGGAGGAACAAGGCACTTGGGGACTGTCCTTTGAGCAATGACTAAAAACATTTCTAGTCCAGCATCCATCCTGAGGTGATGACATCTGTCATCAGGAGCAGCACCCACCCACTCCTGCTCCAACTGCCTCTGGGTATGGAAATCACAAGCTCTCATCCTTCTCCTAGCAGGTGTCCCCAGCAAGACTAACCTCAGTCCCCAGCATGCAGCCTCTGAGGGCAAAGGAGTCAACACAAGCAGTGTGACCTTCACAGGACTACCTAGGCTGAATATACCCACACGTTTCTGACAAGCAGACCTCATTAGATTGGGTACGTTTCATTGGATTTATCTCTTAATCTCCTTCTAGGCATAAGCGCTTGCTCTGAAATGCAGATGGCACCAATCCCCTTCAGAGCAGAGCTGCCCTTCCACTGGGAGACTGGTATTTCGCAAGCATGGAAAGCAACACAAGTGAACACTTTTCTTCAAGTGCTGTGGGCAGTACCGAAGTGGTTGATGGCACTGTGGCAATACATTTAAGAAACCCTTCCCCAAAGTAGCAACTTTCTCAAGAGGCACAGAAGTAGCATATAGATGACCTGGCTCCGAAGATTAGAAGGGTCATCCCCTTCCTCTGGACACCTACCCCATTCTGCTGGCAGAGGAGGACTAGGAGTTTCCAGAGAAGAGCTGAATCTCTGCCTCTCTGTGTTGAAAGATCACAGCTCGTGGCTATCTTGTGCCGGCAAAATGTCATCACATCCACCTTGTGCAGGTCCTCCCTTCATCATCAAAGAAAAGGATCAAATGAAACCCAAGCAAATGTGAGCTTGGACACCATTAAGAATGAAGGGGTTCCCAATTTTGCTGACAAGCACCCCAAAGATTCAAAGAAGAGATGGAGGAGGGAGGATCTTCAATGGCCCCTACCCACATGGTCAAATATATGTCAATGACCACCCACTACATTGGGGGCGCTCAGCTCAAAAATGCAAAAAAAGGTTGATGATTATTATAACTTTTTGCAGATGTCCATGTTTTAAGGATGTAGATGACACGTCAATCTTTCTCTGCCCTCCTGACAATATTTTCATCCAACCATCTGCAAGGAACCTTGGTTCTGCTTAGCAGCAGAGCTATTATAGCCATTACTGTCCAAGGCTGTAAGAGCAGATGTGCATCAAGGCAGCATCTTCTATTTAACTGATATAGTGGCAGGGAGAATGACATGTCTGTGGCCACATAAATCCTCCTGGTTTTGTGCAGACTGAACAGAATTGCCCTGCACCTTGCAGTGCAAAATTATGCAACTGGAAAGCTGTAGGATAAAAGGAAGACAAGCAGGGAGCAAGGAGGGAGACACCAATCTTGATTCCATCACATTATTTGGACTCCAGCAAAGTCCCCTTTGGCAGAATTGCTAGCCTCCAGGTTCTCAGATTTCTACCCAACTTCTGAGCTTGCTCAAATCTTTTGCTGAGTACAGTTTTCCTTCTGCATACTCCTGCTTTGATTATGAGCACAAGCCATTCATACGATTTACTGGTATAACCAATATATTGTATTCGTATAATTGCACTGGTTTAATATACTGTTTGTGCACACGCACACACACACACCCCCCAATAGCCTACACTCCAAAACAACCTACATTTCAGAAGAGAGGACAGGCTCCCAACACGAACCCATATCTACCCTTTGCAATGCCCTTATCTCCCCAAACCGCGGGGACTCTCAAGTCTGTCCTGGGCTCGTCTCTTGGCTCTCCAGAGCCAGCTCCCCTGGACTTCAGCCCAGGCTCCTCAGAAGGGACACTGCCCGGGATCCCGTGAGGGAGATGTACCTAGCCAGAGGCCCTGGGAAGGCTTGTAGCTCCTCTTGCTCTTTGGTGTCATGAAGGATCCCCTGGAAAGCAAGAGCAAACTCAGCAGCTGGACTGCTGCAGCAGGCAGGCCAGGAGGAATGCACGCGTGCGTTCCCCGAGGCAGAAGAGTGGCTCTCAGCGAGGGGGGAGGCTGTGGTTTCAGGGGCTGCGGCGTACCTCCAAGCTGTGCAGCTCCACGGGAGCTAGCTGCCCCGCGGCAGCAGAGTGTGGACACGCCAGCACCAGCTGCCCTCCGGCGCTGAAGCACACCGGCGTGTGCGGCAGCGGGAACTTCTGGGGTGCCGGCGGGACTGGCGCGGATGCCGAAGCCCTCCCTGCATGACACAGTGAGTCCTCTTGCTTGGGCCCCTCACCGCCTCTGCTACGAATGACGCAGCTGAGGCCCAGCCTGCCCTGCCTTGCACAGCCCACGACTGCCTGGGACTGTCCACACAAGGACAGTCCCCTAAAGCACATGGCAAGTGTGTGGCACCTCCCTGCACCCACCAGGCTAGGAGGAGCCCTGCAGCTGCACACCAGGTTCTCAGACATGCCTTGCACCCACACACTCAAGAAAGGGTGCCTGCACTCCAAGACCTGCGCTCTAGAATGGCTGCAGTTGGCCATTGAGCAATGAGATAATAAATTTCAAGGTCAGGAGACACTGGGCATCCACTCAGGCCCTGTTAGCACTAGGGCCCCATCTCATCTCATCTCTCACCTGCTGGCACTGGGCTCCAAGTCCCCAGGGACCCTGGGTCATAGTGGTCAGCGTCATCGCGGATGTACTGGCTGAGCTCATAGCCACTGGAGCTGAGCCCTGACTCACGGTACTGCAGGAGAAGGCTGGGCTTGCTGGAGGCAGCAGGCTGTGCAGAAAGAGGAAAGCAGGAGAAAAAGCTCAATTTCAGGGAAACAGGCCCAAATGAGTCATCTGCCCTGATCAAGTGAGGTAGCAGGTGTTGAATAGTCCAGCACAGCACAGGCCGGCCCCATCTGACCACTTCAAGCACGTTAGCACCTTGGACTCATCAGAGCACATACTCTGGTTAATACCAATGGCTCTCAAAATACTTAGCGGCCAATCCAGCCCAATAGTTCCTCTAGATCTATCACAGGGTCCCCAAGACAGCCTCTACATGGGAATCACTAAAAGCATTGCCTAGGAGCAAAACTACCCTAAGAGCTGCTCTGATTTGATCTCTTCATCTGCTCTTTAGCAAAACATAGCAATGGGGACACAAGTATGAAGGATCGGGCCTTCATAACACGTGACAGCCATTCCCTTCCTTGGACAGAGGTCACCACCATGCAAGAGGGACGCAGGAGAAAGCAGACATCACTTGAGAAGAAAAGCAAGCCACCAAGTCAGGCTTTCTGTCCAATGCTTAGCACTGTGCAGGACAGACATGCAGCCAGATGTCTAGAGGAGTGACAGTCCAACGGATGGAGATCATATAACTACTAATAACCCACGGTAACAGTTCCCAGGCCACTACAAAGCCTCCAAGAGGCCTGGGTGCAACCTCCTCCATGCCCTGCCCCACGTGAGGTTACCTCGTGAGCATGGCTGCTGCCCTCCCCGGAGGAGCTGCCGAAGGAGTCGTCCCCTGCCCGTTCCTGCCGGGAGCCCCAGCGGTGGCTCTGCTCCAGGGAGTCACCAGGCTCTGATCTGCAAAGGGAAGCAAAGGAAGGAGCTGGCCAAGGTGTTGGGACCAGCTGCAGACTTCACTGAGGCTCTTCCCCACGTCTGCCCGCAGTGGAGCCTGCGCTGCTGACTCCACCTAGGGCATCTCCAACGCTGCTCACATGGGACAGTGGAGCCATCATGACCTGAGAGGTGACAAAACTGCCTCCTAGGTGGTCCAGCCCCCCGGTGCAGCCCCTTACCTGTCCTGTGCTGGGGACGGCGTTACCAGGTTGGGGTGGTAACCCCGGTAGTAGTGCTGGTCTCGGTAACCGGTACCATAAGACGGTCCCTGTCTCAAATCTACAGAGAGAATGAAGATTCAGTCCTGCTCCTCCCAAGCAACAAGCCCTAATGAAGTTACAGAAGAGCAACGAGTCAGACAATTTGCCACGCACACCCCATTTGCTTCCAAATTAGCCTGGTGACTTAGAAAATTATGATAAAGCCATGTATGTTGGCAGACAGCACGGACATCCTTTCCTCTTTTTTCCCATTTTCTTTAGTCCAGGAATTCCATAAACACAGTAAAAGTTAGACCCTCTTATCTCTGATCAGTGAGATCAACACGATTGAGCTCAGCCCACAAGCAGGAATGACCCACTTTTTTAGTCAGCTAGATGAGGATTACGTGTTCCCAAGGTTCATCTAGCTCATTCTTGGGACTCCAAATGGAAACTCAAGGCAAGGCTACACCATGAGAATGATCCGTGACCTGGGAGCCTGGACTGGAGAAAGCCCCTTGCGATGGTTCACAGCAAGCCCTCATGGCACAACAGCCAGAATAACGCATCCCAGAACATGCAACATCCATCTCTTCCCCCGGCAGCAGCAAGCTGGTGTGACAGTCACGCAACACTGATACAGCGTGCTTAACTTGGCACAGGACCCCTCCAACGGCTGGACTGGTCAGACACCTCGGTTCCCGGGCCACGGGAGAGGCCATACCTCTGTCCCTCTGCCAGGCTGCCGGCTGCCCTTGGTAGCTCCAATAAGCATAGTCATCACCATAGCCGGGGGCTGCGTAGTTCCAGCGGGGGTCTTCATATCCTTGCCTGAAACATAGTATATGTAGCCAAGAAAGAAAGAAAACTGCATCAGGGTTAAACTCATGACAGACATCTCACGTCCAGCAGAGATACCCAGCAGAAAGACCTACTCCAATCCTCCAAGTGTCACAATTCACACCCCCCAGGGCACAGTTATGGTCCCCAGGGCAAGGGGTGAGCTCTGGGAACACATCCAGGGGGAGATTTGCTGGTCAGATGGGCATCTTTGAAGGCAGAGGACACAGGACACAGAGCAAAGCGCAGATCCGGCAAGAAACACAAGGAGGAGAGGGAGAGCAGAGGCGGCAGATTTGGTCCCACTCCCATCTCATCCCTAGAGACCTGGGCTCTGCAGTTTCAGAAGCCGTCCAGTTTCAGATGCTGGGAAGCTCTGCTCAGTCACCGCCGGTACTGAGCGGTTAGAGGGATGGATGCCTCACGGATGCTTTAGGAGAGGCCTCCAAAAAGCACCTTTCCTGCCACTGTATCTGCTGTATCTGAGGCCACTGTATCTGCTGCAAACCTCAGCACCGGTCTCCTCCTGTGCTGGAGCTCAGCCAGCATATAAGCTGTCCACCCAACACACGTGCACCTTAACCCTTCACAATTTACACAGTAATTCAGTTAGTCCTGCGCAATGCCTAGCCTTCCTGGCCAAGCAATTCACAACCTCAGCAGAAAACCTCGTGTTATCCGTGCACTTCTCACAGCTCTCAGAGGGCAATAACTCAGGCAAATCAACCCAGATTTGCTGGAGTATTCAGAGGTTTCTCCTTACTGAGAGACAGCCTCGGTCCCACATTTTATCCTTCCCCCCCACGCTGTCTCAGCAGCTGAACTTGCAAGCTTCTTTTGATCCCTATATCATCCGTTTATGCTTTTATTGTTCACCTTGCACTTACCAAAAAAAGAAATCTCTAATGAAACTTCAAGCCACCTTGGGACGGGGAAGTTGAGGTGTGGCAGTAACCGAGCGGTGAGCAGGTATCACCTTCCTGGTGAGCAGGTACCCCCTTCCCGAGCCCGCAGCCGTCCCCAGTGTCCCCGTGAGGTTACAAGGAGGGACGCAGAGGTAGGCGCGGGCCTGGCTCAGCGTTAGGCCGGTCTTACCTGGAGAAGGGCCTGCCAGGGTAGGCGCTGGCGTGGCGCTCGGCCCGGCGCTGCTCGCCGTCACGCTGCGGGTCCCGGGGCCGCGACGGCCATGGCGGCGCCCGGGCATCCATCACAGCCCAGCCCGGCGCGGCGGCTCGACCCGCCGGGTGTTGTGACCCCGAGCAGCGCTTGCGCCCTGCCGGGGAGATCACAGCGGGTTTGGTCAGCAACCCCAAGCGGCCTCCACAGCAGGCGGCAAAACCATCCCGTTTCACCCATGGCCCAGGGAGCGGCACGGGGAGAGCGTCAAGCAGCGCCAGGAGCGCTGCCCTCCGAGCAAGTACAGCGTCCAAAGCAGGGAGAAGCGGAGCAGGGTCCGCCCAAGCCGCGAGCCCGGAGACCCAGGGGGAACGCGGAGCTGCTGGGGCCACTGGTTTGAAAGCCAAGCTGCTTCTCAGCGGTGGCACCTGGGTCTCTGCACTGCTGTGCGCAGCCCTCAGCATCTGCTGCAGACCAGGCGGCTCCCACCGATGGTCAGCACAATTTTGGGAGCCTGATATTTGGCCACGCACCTTCTCGGGAGAGGCCCTCGCCGCCGTCCGCCTGCCGCTCCCGTGGCCAAAGTCCTGCTGCCACGGGGGCCCCGCGCGGGGCAAAGGGCGGCCCGCTCCTCCAGCGGGGCTGCCGGCGCCGCGGCCGCGTTCACAGCTCTGGGGAAAGGGCGAGACGGACCCGCGGGCAAAGGCCCTTCGCCGAGAGGCTCCCGCCTGCCCGCGCTCTCCGCTCCCTACACGATGTGTCCGCGTTCAAACAAGGCAGAGGTTTCTTCCCGTTATTCTTGCAGCATGAAGCCGGGCTCCGCAGCTGCAGGTCCTGGCCCCACTCCCATCACCACAGCGTGAGCTGCTCCAGCTCCTCTTCCTGCACCAAGGTTTGCCAGAGAAGAAGCAGAGTTGAGCTGAACCCGGCCGGGGTGCCCATGGTCGCTCCTGGCACGTAGGGTGTCTCACATGGGCTCCATCTGGGCCAGGATCTGGCCAGGAGCCCTTTGCACCACGACAGCAGCCACCGGAGCCACCTCTGCGGTGGTGACACCCTGCCCGCCCCCAGGCCTGGCCTTGGGGGAGGACTCGCTGCCCCACATCTCAGCGACACGAGCAACTCACGCCACGAATCTGGGCTGCCGCGGGGCTCTGGCCTCCGTGCGTGCCGTGACGTGGGCCCACCACCGTTGCCAAAAAGCCCTGTTTTACCAGTGCTGGAAAATTACACATTGTACGTAGAGCTTGCAGCTTCCACCCCACGGGGACGGTCAGTAGTTTCTCCCCAGCGGCTCCAAGAAAGAAGCTTTCAGCCGCTGCACACTTCCAGGTTTCAGGGAAATATGTGGATGTACCTTTAGCACTCAGCTCATGACTGAACATGGAACAAATGCCAGCCCGGGGAGCGTCCTCTCCGTGCTGAGGAGCTGCTGCAGCAGAGCACAATGAAGCGCCTGTCGGTTCCGCAGCCCTGCTCAAAACTTTGTGAGGCCGCGAACAAAGGGAGGTATCGACTGCGGACAGGACAGGCCTCCCGGCAGAAGGAGAAAGGAGCCACAGAGGCCCTGGGGACGCTTTTTTTCCTCCTGGTCAATAAAACCTCTTTTTAAAAAGGAGTATATATTTCCTGAAAGAGATCTGGGCCATAGGAGAGCCATCAAGCTTGCAAGACAATTTTAAGGCAGACAGCACAACACTGATAACATTTTTTAGACAAAGCTAAAGGGGCAATCTCTTCAAAAAACACACTTTTTTTTTTTTTTTTTCTTTAAAGGGTTTCTTGCTGTTGTCACAGTAACAAGATCAGTTGGAAAACATTTTTCTTCATGCCCTCGGGCTGTTTGCCGGCCCTCGGCTGCCGCTTTCCGTGCGGCTGACTAGCAAAGCCGCCTCGGCAGCCTGGCGGGAAAGCAGGGCAGCTCGAGCACCTGGAGCAGCTGCTTGGATCCTGCCCTGTTTTTCATAGCCCTGAGATAGGGCTCGTCTAATGGCATCAGGGAAACGGAAAGCTCTTTTTCTACCCCTTAGCTTTCGCCCCTTGCAATGCAATATGTACAGTTGGTGGAGGGACCTCTGGGATCACAACATGGCACGGGATTTAAAAGGTCTGGAGGAAAAATAAACGTTTGCACCTGAAGGCAAAACCAGTAATTGTCTTCTAGAAGTTTTCAGCGGCTTAGGGAAAAGGCATCCCCTATTTAGCGCCGTATCGAACGGAGAAGCAGAGCTGGAAAAAGCTCTTGTTTGCAGACGTTAGAGCTCCTATGCACAAAGCCCGGCCCATTCCCATGCCTGCTGCTCTGAAAGGTAATTCCAATTTTCCGCCAGGTCCTATTACAAAGAAAGCCCCAAATATTTTAAGGCCTCCCTTCCTCCGTTCGCACTGTCACTCCTGGCTGGGGATGCTAAGAAGCTCCTTTCAACGTGCAGTGTCCCTCAAGGTGTTTTTTGGAAAGGGTGGAGAAAACACTCGCATTGCTCCTGAGGCAGGAGGGGAAGACAGGGGCAGAAACCGCCCCCCAAAGCAGCAAAGTCAGCTGCACCTTGTGCTGCAGGTAGCAAAGAAATAAGAAGGGGAAGGACAGGAGGCTCTGCCTCAGAGGGACAGTGGTGCAGCCAGGGCTACCAGCCCCGCTCCAGAGCTGGCCACCAGTCACGGAGTCCCCAGGAGCAAGTCAGACCAAGGCAGGAGCCAGCGCCAGAGCGAGGGAAGGGACAGCACGGGGCTGCTGCGGCCGATATGCTCGGCTGGGCTGTCCTTTTGCCAAGATTGCCACCTTGTGTCTTTGCAGGCACTCAGCTGTCTGCTGTCTTTGCGGTGGAGCCCGCAGGCTCCTTCGGGAGCTTTATTATGCACAACGGGCGGCAATAAGGACCCCTGACAGGTACAGGTGGCTTCTGTGTGTCCTACTCCGTGTGCTACCTTGTGGAGTTGGACGGTAATGCTGCCTTCTGCTTTTTTTTAATCTCAATTTGTGACTCCTCTACCATGAAGAGCCTCTTAAGCCTGCCACAGTTACATTGACTATACCCTTCAAGGCCAGTAAATCACAGACTCAAGTCATGTCAAATTTTGTGAAATGGAACTAAATTGCAGGTGTTCTCTAAGGCAAAAAGTGGCAGAACTGAGAAAGAGAGACTATAAAGGCAGAAACCCCAGAGGAGCCTTCCCACGGTACAGGGGAACAAGGCCCGCCAAAAATCTGTGAGTTGAAGAAAAGCCTGATAAAAGTGAAGCCAAGGGGCCCCTTGCACCACACCAAACTGGGTCTCCATGGCCATTTTCATGGCCTAGTGGCAAAGGCGAAATGCTCCAAGTTGCCCTCTTGGGCCTGCCCGGATGCCGAGGGCTGTGAGGACCCACACCCCGACCCCGCTCCTGGCTCCAGCAGCGCTGACTCGGTGGCACTCGGTCCGTGGCGCACAGGCTGCCTTACCCGGCGCTTTGGGCAGAGCTGAGTCCAGGCAGGAGCCCATCGAGGCACGCGGAGCCCGCGGCAGCCTCGCGCAGCCGCAGCACCCAGGCCGCCCCGCGCTCCCCAGCTCGGGACGGCACCAATGCCGGGCGCAGAGCTGCTCGCTCCAAGGGGTCCCTGCGGACAGACCAGCCAGAGAAGCACCAGCACGGGAGGGGGTCACCGACCGAACCCCCTTAGCTTCACTCAAAGGGCTGGCTACCACAGCAGCGATTGAGGAAGCTGAGGACAGACAGATACAGCACCAAGAAACACTCCCTGACCCCAAACCCGCGCATCACGTTCCTCCAGTGCCTTGTCTGTTCCTTGTTTGTTTGTTTGTTTTGCGGCAGAGTTAAAATTTCATGATAGCTGAATTAATGTGGAGACGTGCCAGAACCGGGGACAGACGGCAGCACGCGGGCGCGCGGGAGCGGGGAGGGCGCGCGGAGACGCTGCGCGTCCCGCTCTGCACCCGCGGCAGGGCGCGCAGCCTGCTCTCCCAGCGGCACGGCGCCCCGGCCAGCCCCGACGCTCGCGTCCTGTCTGTCCCCAAGAGATGCACGGCGGGCCCAGCGCACCCTGCTTTTCTTAAAAGCTTGTCCCATGGGATAAAGCGAGGAGGCAGCAGTGTCTTTGCTTCCCAAGGTGACCCCACACGCAAACCACCCGGTAACATCTCGTCTCTTCAGGTGGAGCAGCACTACAACGGAAGCCAGGAAGATGCAACCCTCAAAAAAAAGGGAATTACGACCAGCCAAAACAGAAAGACGGGGGAAAATGCAGAACATCTGGGGTCAGCTCTTTGGCCGATCAAACCCGACGTGCGCTGCACCCAGCTCAGAGCCAGGGTACCCTCACCCCTCTCTGAATCTGAAATGCCAACGTACACGGGAGCTAATCAGCGGTGTGAGAGACAGAGCAGCTTGCACCCGCCACGCCACGTGCTGCACAATTAGAAGGCTTCGCATTCAGGCACAGAAAGAAAAGTCAGGGGACTTCAGCTGTGAAACATCCATTATTCAGAAGTGCATCCATTATTCAAAGTTTTCCTTAAAATCTTACTGTCAGCTTGAAAGGAAAAAGAAAATGAGTTTTCTAAGCTGTGCTCAGTTGATATTCCACTCCAATTTTTGCTGATTGTAAGTATTAAAACTCCAGACACCTTGAATTGCTGAGGAAATCTTTCACAGCTCCCCGGCAAGGCAGCACCAGGGACGGGCACAGTTCCCCCCATCCCTTCACCCTGCTCCTTCCCTGGTCTCCTTGCTCGCTCCATGCCAGGGTGACCACTGCTGCTCAGGGGAAGGCAATAGCAAGAGGAGCAGATACCTCTGCAACTCTTTGCTATCCACAAACATGATTCAAGGCTAATAAATGGAGTCTAGCCCAACCTACCATAGTACCTGAGGTCTGTGGTATTGGTATGAGGTGTTCAGATTAGGCTGCAGAGCAAATTCATAAGCTCCCCTGAACTATTTCCCTGTAAAAACACCTCCAGATCCCGGCCTATCCTTCAACTTGCCCCCAAGGGAGGCTTAAAGATAGAGACACCCCCAACTTCTTAGCAGCATTTTTCACTTTATTACCTGTGCTCTCAAAGAATTCCTGGCCAGGAAGCCACACCTAGAACCTCACATGGCAAACAGCTCACCAGGTAACTTCTTCCCATAGCCCAAGGGGCAGGAGAAGACCCACATCACAGCTATTGCTCTGGTGGAACCACAATAGGCCTGAGTGCATCCCTCCAGTGGGGCAGTCCCAGCCCCAAGCACTGCCAGAGGAATGTGCAGAGCATTAGCAGAGGGTTTGGGACTAGATCACTAGAGCAAGGCCGGGCTGGAGATCATCATTGCCAACCCTCCACCCCAGTCTAGCTAAGGGTCCCCAGCTGGGCTTAATGGGCACCTGGCCCATAGCAGGGAGGTGGGGTCCCCAAGTGAGTCTGCTTAGGGATGTTAAGGCTATAAATGCCTTCAGTGACCTTAAAAAAAAAAAAAAAAAAAAAAAGTAGAGAGTGGGAGTGTAGAGAAGTAAGGAGCAAGGTGTCTCTACTTGCCTAGTTTTACGTTTACCAAAGGAAGAAGGAGCTGAACGGGGACCTGTATGTGAAATATGTGCACTAGACTAAGGAGCAGTAGCAAGACTAAAGGCTATTTGCTCTCTTTTGTAGCTTCTTGTGAGTGAAAAGCCAAAATCCTTGAAAAGCTTTGGTGACTTTGAAGAGCTAGATTGTAAACTACCAACCTCCCTTAAAGCTCTTCTACTTGAGTAAAAGAAGATTAAGGGAAGCTATAGCAGATGTAACTAAATGACCAGCCCAGACTTTGGTGAAGGAAGATATCTTTAGTACTTCTTGTAGTACAAGAGGTGCTAAGTAACATACTACAGAGACCTAAAATCAAGTTTGCTTGGATTTTCTGTATATAGAGTGCCCAGGAATTTGTGGCGTTCCCTCTAGTGTAACCTGAAGAAGCTGGTAACTAACAGCTGCCTACAGCATGAGTATGGTTCGCAGCTCATTTGAACAAAGTCTTCACTGCAATGGTCCGTTTTCTGCTGTTACCAGTAAAGTATGCTCAAAAATAACAGTGTTTGGTATGCCAGGAAGGACTTGCAGGGCTTGAGGACAGCGTTCTCCACCCAGAAGCTAAGGCAGAAGCTTTTGGGTAGAAGCTGCTCTTCAGTGCGTAGCAGCAGGGCTGGCAGCAAAGGAGCATCGTGGTAACATCGTGGGAAGACACGGGAGCGCTCTCTCTTCTTGCTGCTCAATGACAACTGAGGACAGCGCAATGACAAGAGCCTTTACCCTTCCACCCATGCCCGATTTGGTTGCTTTTCTCTCAGGCCACTTAGGGCATTTTTGTCTGTTCTTTCCTGGTCTCCTAGAACAGCTCCCCCAAACAGCAATCGGCAGGGCCCCAACTAGGCTCAATTGCTTGTTGACTACATTAAAAGAAGCTGGAATTGTTTTTTATTCTGCTCCTGTGAGCCATAACTAGGGCCAGCACAAGATATTAGGCTTCTTATTGTTAATAAGAGAAAAGCAGTCCATATATTCCCACTGACAAAGCCAGAAAAGCTGCAAGAAGTCAGCCTATGTCTGATGAGCTATGAGAGAGATACGAGATGTGCCTTTGGTCACCAAGAAGTGTTGTTGGGTGAGATTTTGAGAGCAGTGCAAGTTTATTATTGAGATGCAGGACAGCCTGGTCAAAATTATTGATCTTGCAGCTATAGCTATAGGGACGATGGGGGTGAGCTGGACGCTGAGGGATCCTCAGGGTTGCCGTGCTGTGTGTGTGTGTGGTCGTGTGAGCGATCCCGGTCAGTGCCGCCAGGCCCCGAGGCTGCTTGGGCGCACACGGCAAAAGCAAAGGGTCCACTCTGCACCTCGGGGTGCTCTGCACCTCGCTTCCACCCGCCGCGAGGGCCCGCGGCTGCCCAGCTGCGGTTTACTGCATGGAGATGACGACCTTTCCCGTGGACTGGCGCTGGAGCACGTGGTTAAAGGCCTCATTTACCTGCAGACACAAAGCCCCAGGTGAGCGACGGTGGGAAACTGCCTTGGCGGGGAAGGAAAGGGCAGAAGGAGGATGGGTGGGAGAGCTCAGTTTTGTAGAGACTCCCGCTGCTTGCTATGTTATCCAGCAAAAAATAAAACAAATTAAAAAGAAAACTTAAAATACATTCAGGCTCTTAGTCTTGTGTGGATTTACAATAGTCTATAATACAATTTGTTTGGCCTAAATGAATAGCCAGGAGTTTACATACGAGTCTGGGTTTTCCGGTGACAGGATTGAAATAGTTCAGGACTGGAAAAAATCCTGCATATTTGACTGCCTTATGTCGCTGAATTTGCTGCACGTTACATCAATATTTCTGATAATTTGAGCTGTTATTTAAGAATTAAAATACCATCAAATCAGGAAAAATGTGTTCTGAACACCTTCAGAGCCTCTGAGAAAAATGCAAGTAAAGACATATCAAAATCAACTAAACTCACTTCTAAAATATTACATCAGCACTCATATGTCAAGAAACACAGCCAGAACAGAGCAGTGCTGGTTGCTCTTCAGATGCTTGCATAGCGGGTTTGTTTTTTATGGAGTTCCTTTTTGTGGGTAAAATTCTGTGTGAAGTTAGCCCATGCCACAGAAAACTCCGGAGCCCTAGTTCTCTAGGAAACAAAAAATATTAAAATCAAGAAATCCCATTTTCTTTACCCTTTTTAGTCTTTCTTTGGGTTTGAGCTAGGGAGTCATTAACTCCTATTTTGGTACAGCACAGCCAGAATTGCAATGTGCAATTAAAGGTAAATGTGTAACTAAAGGTAAAGTCATGTGAAAAATGCATACTCTATATGAGAGTATACCAGAGTATTTACAAAGAATTTTACCCACAAAAAGGAACTCCATAAAAATAATCCTGAGAAACCAGCTCCACACAGATCATGCAAGCGTTCAAGCTATGCCAGCATGAGAAGAGCGACCAGCGCTGCTCTGCTCTGGCTGTGTTCCTTGGCAGGAGTGGGATATGAGTTGACCACACACACCCATGTCTCTGGCTCCTTAACCCGTAAGATCAAGCTCTGAAGAGCACTGCAGACTTGCAACCGATCCAAGACCCTCTTCATTCCAAGGGCCTCCACTGTGCCCCATGAGGACACGCTGCTGTGAGCATCACCAGCACCTACCTCTTCCAGCTTGAAGACTGCTCCGATGTGAGGATGGATCTTTCCCTCCTGGCAATACCGAAGAGCCGAAGACATAGTGGAGGAGAAAACAGGAAAATTCTCCTCCTGGTACCGAGTCCAATACACTCCCATGGCAGACACGTTCTTCAGAAGCAGCAAGTTAGCAGGAATTGAGGGAATTTTTCCTCCAGCAAAACCCATCACCACAATCCTGCCCTCCCAAGCCAGACTGCAAGAAACAGAGAAAGAAACCAGCTTTACTGGAGGTCTCCTCAGATCCTCACCTCAAGGCAGTACTTGCATGATGGAGAGCTGCTGAGGCTGAGCATTCTCCCAGGCTCAAATGAATTAGTGCCCAGAGAAGCTCTGCTTTGGACAGCTGTACTTCAGTATCAGTCTTCAGAGAACCCAATTAAACCCTAACAATGCACACAAAGCCAAGGCCCTGTCCCATCCACACCTTCTCAGTGTTCCCAAGTTCTGCCTGAGAGCTGATGAGGTACACAGGGTCTCCAAAGAGGTAGGTAGCCCAGGGGACACCATGCTTGACATCTACATGATCAAAAATATGACCTTCACACATGCCAACAGCATCACCTGGGCTCATGTGACTTTGTCCTACGTTACAGCAAGGCGCAGGACTCTTATTTGAGCACACCTTTGCAGGGCTGCCTTGAAGATGTCCCCGCCAACAGCCTCAACGGCCACATTGGCCCCTCTGCCATCCGTGAGCCTCTTCACTTCATCCCTCAGGCTGCTCCGGCTGTAGTTCACGCTGTGGCTTGCGCCTCTCTGCAGAGCCAGCTCGCATTTGGCATCGCTTCCAGCTGCTGCTATCACCTGCAACCGTGGAAAAGCACAATAACCAGCCAAAAGCAGCTCCGCTCAAAGAAGGGCGGACTGTTTCAGGTGCCCTGTTGTGATCTGCAGGACTTAGAAGCTTCAGCACTTCCATTACTTGTCTCAGAAAAGGCTCCACAAGCCCACTGCAGTCTGGAAATGAGACACAAAAGCCATTTCTCCTGTTTCCGCTGTCCAGAAGCAGCAGCCCCCCTGCACGGCAGCAGCAGTCCGACAGCTGTGCCGCCCAGGCCGTACCCCAGGGAGGGAGGAGGAAAGCTCTCTGCCGTTCCAAGCGCAGGGAGAGCTGCAGCCCGGTGCTCACACGGGAGTCTCGCAGGCACCCTGGGTGCTGCGGGAGATGTGGCGGGCAGCATAGTGACACATGGCACAGACCAAGACAAGGTGTCCCGGACTAACTTCCAAACCACTTAGGATTCATAGAATCATAGAACCCTTAAGGTTGGAAGGGACCTGTAGAGACCATCCAGTCCAACCTCCCTGCACACGCAGGGTCACCCAGGGCACAGGGCACAGGGCTGCATCCAAGCGGGTTTGGGAGATCTCCAGAGAAGAAGACTCCACAGCCTCTCTTGGCAGCCTGTTCCAGGGCTCGGGCACCCTCACATTCATTGCAAGCTGCGCTGGAGTTACCTCAGCACAGGTGTTTCTGGGATTTTGCTTAGCATCCTGGTGTGCTGCTTTGTACAGATGTACAGCTGTATCCTTAAGTCTTACCTTTAACTAAACAATCTCTGAAATCGAATTCCCTCTCTTTGTTCAAAGGTGGAATTTGGAGCTAGAGTGCCAGCTCTTCTTCAGAAATGCTGGGGTTTTGTTTTGTTTCGTTTTGTTGATTTCTAGCTGTGCATCTAAAGAACTAAGTTAAGATTTTCACAAGTGCCTGAATGCCTTTGGAGCCTGAGGCCACAGACTTCTGCTGAAAACTAGGACTGCGTGTATCTAAAGCCCTTTGGAAAATGATGACCACGGGTGAAATACTGAGTACACTGCTCAATGGGAGCTGGTGGAAGATGGGGGGAGAAAGGAGGGACATTGCAAATGGCAGAGGAAAGCCAGTTTAATTAATAACTGGTGCCTCTGGTGCCTCTGACACAGCAAGAACTTGGTTCCAATGCTCTGCTCTGCCACTAAGTCACGGAGACACGGGGCCTGCTCTGAGCCCACAGGGCCGTGGCAGTGGGCGAGGAAGGAGAGGGCAGGAGCACGGGTTTGCCCAAAGCGGCTCTCCCTGCTGCCAGCCGCCCGCAGCTCTGTGTCCCCAGAGGAGGGAGGGCCCTGAAGCAGGGGGCATGTGACATGGTAGCGAAGGACAGAGCATTTGTAAGAAAGGAGAATACCTTTGCCTTGAAAATATTGACAGCCAGATCAATAACTGCAAGTCCTGTAGCCCCAGCTCCTGCCGTCACCAGAACCGTTTCCCTGAGGGAGAGAGGAGAAAGTGTCAGTGGTGCAAGAGAAAAGCACATCATTGACTTTGAACGGGGCAACACCACGTTTTCGATGCCACGAGCATTCCCTCCGCCAGCAGGGATGTGCTGGGATGTACCGCAGCGCTCGGAGGGCTTTGCCCTCTCGCCCAAACCAGCCTCTTCAGACGGGCTCTTCCTGCCTGAGCGCTAAGCTTCGACATCGCAAAGCGAAATGATCTGAGAGCAACCTCCGCATCTGCTGAATGGCTTTACCAGCAGAAGCACATTCACTGCAGACCATAAAGAAAATGTTAGTCCTGCACCGCTCAGGCTGTGGTTGCCTCTGCTCTTGGACAGGGAGGAGGGCTGCATGAACTGAGATGTAGCAGTGGTTTTTGCACGCTGTGGATTTCTGTACAGCTGTCAGGAAGTTGCTTCATCTCTATGGCTTTCTTGAGTGACTCTTCCCTATTTCAGAGAAGCAGAGAAAGCAACATTTCAGCTGACAAGGGCTACAGAAAAAAAACAAGTGAGTTGTTAAAAAAATCCCACACTACAGCTCGCTAGCCAAGGTCCAGCAGGTCCTCCAAGGTCCAGCGCTGCTTCTCCACAACAGAGAGCTGCCATCTTCATGTCCATCACTAGAGAGTGCCTGGCATGCAGTGACGGGGACAGCAAGCCCATGTGGAGTGAAGCAGCTACGCAGCCTGGGCAGCCTGCTTGCCGAGGAAGCAACATCCACAGGGATCAGCTTCATCCCTCCACACTGCGTCTGCCACTTACCCCGGCTGCACGCACGCCCGGTGTTGGAGGACCAGCGTGGCTGTGCCGTAGGTGACAGGCAGCACCGCGGCGTCCTCGCTGGACACCCCTTCAGGGACCTGCCACAGCATCTGCACAGAGACACGTGCTGCTCAGCAGGCCACGAGGGGACCCGAGCCCGTCGCGAGGCCTCCCCGTGCACTCAGGATGGGAAAAAGGTCGTTCCCTACGGGTTCTTTATCGGCCTCTTTTACAGCTTCTTTTTATTACTAGAAACACTCTGCCCACAGGACCAAGGAAAGGGAGATCCAAAGTAATCCAAAAGGGGCACAAAGCAGCAGTTGCGATGCACCCCATGCTCTGAACAGAGAGAGAAGCTTTCTTGCAGTATGGGCAAACTCTCACACCATATTCCTCACCTTCTGGTCAACGACACACTCCTCTGCCATCGCGGTAGTGCCAGGCACACCAACAACTCGGCATCCCTGCCAGAAAACATTGTGGATGGGTGTCAGGAGACAAGTTATGCAGTCTGGCTGCTGTCTCACAACTAAGCATTTGATTCTCTTGCTTTTTCAGGCAGAACTGTGGACAGCTCAAGCTGTGGCAGATGACACCCATTTATCGTCGCATTTACTGCACTTATTTCCCCCCTCTTTTTTGAGCCGGCGCCATAGGCAGTGCCTTCTCCCTCCCCGGCAAAGCTCAGCACTTCTCCCTTGCTTTCCCACCAGATGCAAGGGATTAGAGGGGACCTTCCCCCACAAGGACCAATGAAGGCGCTGAGGCCATTCCCCAGCTCTGGCGTTCCTGTGATTTCCCTACCTCCCTCACGGTGCTCACGTTCTCTCCTGTCTCCAGGACCGTCCCTGAAAACTCCATTCCTGAGGGGCGACAAGGACACACATTCACTAGGGCCGATGATCCCCCCACCTTCCTAGGGCCGATGATGTCCCCACCTCCCGCTGCTTCCAGCGGCCTCCCCTGCGGATGGGCTCTGGAAAATGGTCCCATCCACGCAGCCCCTGCTTTGGGAGAGACTGTGCAGCAACGGGCACTTCCCTAAGGCTCAGTCCTGGCCTGCAGAGCGAGCAGCTCCCACCATCAGTGATAGCCTCGATGGACTAAGAGACAAGGGAGACACTCAGTATTTGTGGGTGCCAAGCGCCCATGGCTGCTGCGCCGGGTGCTGGGGATGCCTTCGGCAGCAAAGCACCGGGTGGGCAGAAGGTGGCAGCAACAGCTCGAGAGTCACCAACCGAGGATTTCTTTTCATTGCAAATACCCATAAACTTCAAGGAAAAAGAGATGTTTCCAGGCTATGGCACTTCAGAAGCATGCGGAGAGGCAAAAGGCGGCTCCCCGCGCGGCGCGGGTCGAAGGAGATGAGGTGGCCTGCAGGCTTTGGTGTGAGGACCACGCACCCTTGCCTGCGTGTAGGACAGCTTCCAAAGTGGGGGATTTATTGGCACATGCTGCTCTTCTCCGGGGCTGCCGATGGGCTCTTAACACAACCGGGATTTATTGCAGTAGTCAGTCTGTCCCTCCACACCTCCCGCACAAATCAGCCACCTCCTACTCACCAGGAGTGAACGGAAGAGCATGTTTTTCCTGATACAAACCCTGGCAGGCCAAAATATCCGCAAAATTTAACCCGCAGTAATGCACACCCACTCGGACCTGCGAGAAGGAGACAAGCATAAATCTTTCCATTCAAGTAACAGCAGAAGTACTTTAAATAGAGACTTACTGCCTAAACGCAGGACACTCAAGTCCCTGGACTAAGCCCCATGCTGTCCCTTTTCAAAAGATCTTGGCACTTTCTAACTTACAGCTCTCAGTGTCCAGGGGGGAAACTAGGGACAGCATCGGTTGTGCTGTGGCTGTGTGGATTCTCCCTCTCCCCAGTGAGGGATGATGGAAAACAAACAACCCTCATCAAAGACCATGGAAAACAAATAACCTTCATCCAAGACCAGCTCTCGTGCAGGGATAGTTTTTTCTTCACCTCATTTTGGGCTTTGTTTGGGCTTGATTCGCTCTTTCAAAGAGCACTGATGACAACGAGAAGCTTCTGTGTATCTCATCTCCTTGGTGTGGGGATGCAGGTACAGGAGACCCTGTGGATTTTAGGCGGGTGATCCCTCTCCTAGAGACGAGCAGAGCTGCCGGGCTCCGCTCCTCCAAGGACGCCCCAAACAGGGGTCTGGAACCTGCCAGCCCCATGGCACGGCGGCATCGCACGGGCCGGGGGGTGACGTGTAGAGCAGGATGAGGTGTGAACGGGACGTAGCCCTGCACGGAGCTTTGACCTTCCTCCTGCGTGCCCTGCCCTCCGTGTGCAAGGGAAGCCCGTGTGTCCCTGCGGCCCTCCCGCTGCGGCAGTGCACGCGGGGCGCACGCAGTGCAGGGTGAACGCTGCACACGCTGCGGGGATGGCGGGTTGGTGCCGCGCGGGCACCGGGCACCGCGGCCGCCCTACCTGGTGGGGCTGCAGGGCCCGTGGGGGCAGCTCCCGCAGCTGCAGCGGCCCGGCCAGCTGGGTGCAGAGCGCGGCGCGGTAGCCCCGCGCGCCCGCGCGCCCCGCGGCGCCCGCCCTGCAACACAGGCCCGCGCGGCCGCCTCAGGCGCCCGCCCCAAACGCCGCTCTGCTCCGGGGCGCTGCTCTGAGCACCCCCTTGCGCAGGCGGGAGCGGGAGGGAAGGGGAAAATGAAGGGGAAAAGGAGGTGGGGGAGGGGAGGAGGAGTGGAGGGAAGGAAAAGGGAGGGCAAGCAGCTGGAGCCAGGGAAGCAGCAAGGGAGAGGGAAGGGGAAAGAGAGGGAAAAGGGAGTGAGAAAGGGAGCGGGGAGAGGAAAGGCCCGCGACAGGGTAAGGGAGAGGCCGAGGGGCGGCTCGGGAGGGGACAGGGCAGAGCGGGGAGCTGCCCTCCCGCCCCACCGCCGCAATGCCGCCGCCGCCATGATCCGCTCGGCTCCGCCAGGCCCGGCCGCGGCCACCACGGGGCTTCCGGGCCGCTTCCCGCCCCGCTTCCCGCCCTGTCCCGCCCCGAGCGAACGGCCACCCCACCGTGCGCCCTCGCCACGGTCTGCCGGGCAGGAAATGGAGCGGGAAGGGGCGAGCGCAGAGCGCCAGGGCACGGGGCGCCCCAGCTGCTGGCTCCCCACCCCGTGCTCCAGCTGCAAGCGTGTCCTTCCCCCAGGGGACCCCCGTGCCAAAGCCCCCTCCCCTTTGCTTATAATTTCCCGAAACGACTCTTTTCTGAAGCTGGAACACCCCATGGCAACTCCAGGGGCAACACGTGTGTGGGTCAGGAGCAAACCAGCGGCTCCCGCTCTGGCGATGGCGGCACCTGCGTGTCCCTGTGCGCGCGGGAAGGGGACGCGGCGGGTGCTGCCGTGGCCTCTGCTCGGCGTGGGGACGCGGAGAGCGCTGCTGCCTTCCAATGAAACCCTGCAGAGCATGGCTAGAGCGGGCCGCACTCCGGCCGCCCTCGAGGGCTGCGGGGCAGCGCGATCACAGCACCTGAGCGGCCGGGACGTCCTCCCCACTATCCTCTCTGTCCTCCTGGTGTGAGCTCCGGTGAACGGCGTGGAGTCAGGACCGCCTGGAGGCCCAGAGCCTCTCCCAGGGCTGGGGCGCGTCGCAGCTGCGTGGAGAGGGAGGAGGGCACGTGTGCTGCTCGTTAGCCACGCTGGGACGTGGGTCGGGGCTCAGACCTGCTTGGGACCGCGCACTGGCTCCTCTCTGAGGCAAGTGTGTTTTTAAATACCAGCTGTGGCCACAGAAGATGTGGTGCTCCTTGAGGCTCCATGGGTTAGACCACACTCTTCCCTGGAAAATCCAGTGGAGACGGGAGAAAGAGCCTCCAATTTCCCACAGAGGGGGTATTTCTCAGGCAAAAATTCACACTTGTGCACAGTGCGTGGCGAATGTTGGCCTCGTACCTGCACAGGCGGCTGCAGAGCGTGAGGGTGGTTCAGAGATCTGGGCTCCTGAAATCACAGCTGTGGGTCCGCGGCAGAGTCACAGCGTGGGCTCTCTCCGCATAGGCATCCTTCACATTACCCCTGCTTGTGAAACAGAACGGATGCCTTCAAAACCCTTTGGCTGTAATTTGCCGAAGGGTGTTGTCAGCTCCTTCCACCTACCAAATAAACCTACATCCAGGAGAAACAGCTCCTTGTCTCTGCAGAATGGGATGGACTAGAAAGCAGCAGCAGGACTGTGAAGTGCTTTGCGATATTTTGTATTATTACCTGGTGAAGAACAATCTCCACCTCCTGACAGCTTAAAGCTTCCCTCCCGTGAGCCCGGGGCAGTCCCACATTCAAGTGCTCGCTGCAGGGGCAGGGGCAGTCGCGTGAGAGGCGTGTGAGTGACTGCAGCTGCCCGGCACAACTGTCTGAGCAACGGGCCAGCGCTTCTTGGCTGGCACAGCAGGGAACACGATGGCCAGGGCTGCGTTTTCCTGCTTCAAGCAACTCGCATTCGATTCAAATCCATCTCCGGTGGAGCCCCACCGGCTCCTGCCGAACCCCGACGCAGCCGGGTCTGGCTCATTGCATGCAGCAAAAGCTACTTAATTAGAGCAGCAGCTCAATTTATTTGTTTTGTATCATCTTGATTAGCCATCACTTAAACTCGTAATTAAGGGCAGAATAGGGACTGCGAAAACGGCAGCTGGGCTGGGCTGAGCTGCCCAGAAGCGTCTGGACGAGTGTGTCTGTCGCCTGGAGCTAGAGGTGCCCCTGCCTTCCTGGAGGCCGCCTCTTCCCAGGAAACCAACACCCGACTACTGGCAACCTTGGGACGAGAGCACCAGCATCCCTGGGGAGAGTCTGGCGGGCAAACCAAAGCAGAGGGACTGGGACCTCACGTGGTCACTGCAAACACCTGGAGCTCCTTGGCAGGAGCGGGTGCTGCTCGGAAATGGGAAGCTGCGTGACTGAGTCAGCAGGGCTGTCCTTAGCGTTCGGTTATGACCTTGAGCACAAGCGAGGAATTTCTGTGCAGGCGTTTCTCCCAAAATGCCTCTTGCAGTCCGCTTCCGTATCACTCCAGGGTCCTCAATCTCCTCCTTGTAACCCAAAATCCGAGTTATCCTCTGTGGGCTGAGGGCTGCCAGGACCGGTTCCACGCTGCCGTTTGAGGCAGCTCTTGCTCTAGGACCTCTTTCCTCCTGTCCCAGCTCTGGGACTCCTGTATTTACGCTGAAATACAGCTTGAGCCAGAACCTCGCTGTGTTTTTAACGGGAATGGAGTGGCTGTATCATACTGCAGGACAGAGCGTCCTAACCGGCCATGCCTGGTGATGGGACGGGAGAGAAGGACGGACGTGCGCCGGCACGTGCAAGATGGTATTAAGCTGCTCTCTTGTGCTCTAAACTGCATTTTCTTTTATTTATTTATACACCTAGGGTTGGAAAAGTGGGTGCAGAGGAGAGATATACACATTTTGCTCCTCTTTTTAAATTTTTTTCCTTTACATATGCCATCACTTCACAGTGTTCTTGATCAGTTCTGCCTTGAGAGATGCTGCTGCTGCAGTCTGCTCCAGAGCTAAGCAATGATGGGCAGAGCTGGGGACCCCAGGGCAGTATTTTTAATGAAGTACGGCTCCAGTCTGCATCAAATGAGCCTATTTGTGTCTTTGTGTACCCTTTGCTTGCAGACAACCATCTCTCTAGGTAACCGCGCAACAGAGCATAACTTGCTATTTATTGGCCTCTGTCTCTGCTCAGAATAGCAAAGGAAGAGCACCCACGTGCTTGGGCAGCACAGAACAAAAATACAGCAGAGAGAAACCGGATAAATTAGTAATATAGGCAGCCTGGGAGAAAAAAAAAAAAAAAAAAAAAAAAAAAAGCCTGTGTTCCTACAACTGTGGATAAATCTAGTGATCATTCGTTTCGCAAAGTTCAAGCCATCTAACTTGGAGTCTAACAGGAAAAATAGGGCTAAATAAATCATTTCTCCCCTGTTGACCTCACTCTCCGTGCCCAAAGAAAGAGGCCTATTTGTGTTTGGCTGAGCACAGGCTGGTCAAGGGTCCCGTGTCGTAGCCAGAACCTCCTCGGCACGAGTGCCCCGTCGTCACAGCATCAGCTCTATCTCCGTAAAGAGCTCAGTCAAAAGACTGCGTTTGGAAATGCCAGTGCCCTGCTCCTCGAAAACGAACCAATATCCAAAGAGAAAACTGCCAGGTTTGTCACCGTCCTGCCTTGGCTTGTCAGAGTCCATCCCAGAGCTGAGCAGATCCCTTCGGAAGGCTGCTGGGGGCTGCTTAGTTTGTGGTAAGGGAAAGGCAGCAGCGTTCCTCCAGACAGGCAGCAGCCATGGAAAAGGGAATAGGAGACAAAATGAAGTGAGTCATTTGGGCTGTAAAGGCAGCTAACTGCTTTGGACAAGGTGTTGTTCCCTGGTTGCTGCTGTTTTTGTTTGGTTTTGCATCTGGATATTCTTGACTTGCAGGGTGCGGGGCTAAGGTGTCCCGCAGAAGGTCCCAGCCCCTCCAGCAGAGAGAGGGGAAGCCTGGTCCTTGCTGACAGGGACCCTGCGGAGATCTCGGGGAGCCCAGGCCTCGGGCACAGGGCAAGGCCACGTCCCGCAGCTCTCGAGCCTATCTCTAAAGCTCTGTGCCTAACACTCAACGCCCAGCGCTGGAAAACAAGGCGCACACAATGAGAACTTCACATCCATGAGGAACTTCACATTCAGATTCTTCAGATTCTCTCCACTTCCCTCCTCCCCAAATACCGCGGGAGAGGGAACAGATCTGTGTTGAGCATGCCTCCAAACTTGTTTTTGGTAAAAGGGGGTGGAATGGGGACAGATTTCACTCTAAGAACATCCTGCTGGCAGCTCCTACACTGACGTAATGTTATCTTAGGATACTCCATTAGTCTCCTTGGGGTAGTTTTGTTCAGGGAGAGAGAACATTTCCCAGCAAGGAAACAGAAATGCAGCCAGCTCAGTAAACTTTTGACACCTCATATAAAGGTACCCAATGTACTGGTTAATTAAATGTACAAAAAAAAAAAGAAAAGAAAAAAGAAAAAATGTCTCCCAAACAACAGAGCCCTGAACCATCCTCATGGGTGCCCCGACACACACAGACCCCAGCACTGCAAGTGGAGAGCTCACAGACTCAGTGTCCACCTCCGCCCCATACAGCGTTCACAGAACCACGAGGGATATATTTGGAGCAAGTTCTCCCAAGCCTGACTCATATTTCCTTCCTTGCAGAAGCCCAAACAGAATTTGACCCCAAAGGGCAGCATTTCAGAAAGGGTGAGATTTGCTGCCCACGTGCCACTGCCAGCCAGGAGGCAGCGGGTCCTTTCCAGTGTGACTGGTACATTGGAACGGGCATTCTGGTGAGTTTTGGTGGATTTTCTAGACAGGTTGCAGAGTTGCACAGAGAGGAACCTCATGAGGTTCAACAAGTACAAGTGCAGGGTCCTGCACCTGGGCAGGAATAACCCCAGGCACCAGGACAGATTAGGGGTCGACCTGCTGGAGAGCAGCTCCACAGAGAGGGACCTGGGAGTCCTGGTTGACACCAAGTTCACCATGAGTGAGCAGTGTGCCCTCGTGGCCAAGAAGGCCAATGGGATCCTGGCTGCATCAGGAGGATGTTGCCAGCAAGGCAGGGAGGAGATCCTGCCCCTCTACTCAGCTCTGGGGAGGCTGCACCTGGAGCATTGGGGGCAGTTCTGGGCTCCCCAGTATAAGAGGGACATCTTGCTTCTAGAGAGGGTCCAGTGGACGGCAACCAAGATGACTGACAGACTGGAGCATCTCTCGTATGAGGAAAGACTAAGTGAGCTGGGACTGTTTAGCCTGGAGAAGAGAAGGTTGAGAGGGGGCCTAATCACCTGTCTAAGCACCGGAAGGGTGAATGTAGGGAGGAGGGGGACAAACTCTCCTCGGTGGTGGCCAGTGCCAGGACAAGGGGCAA